GAACAAGGTTGAGATGCAAAAGGGAAGAATTTTGTTTGTTTTTTTTTAAAAACCAATTTATGAGCTTCAGTTATGAAGAGAAATTGTATCTATGTGGAAAGAATCAATGTTATTCGAACAACTGGGCATGGTGGTCCATGTCTATAGTCTAGCACTGGAGATGCTGAAGCAAGAGGATTGCTGCAAGTTCAAGGCCAACCTGGGCTGCATATCAAGACCATGTCTCCAGGGGGCTGGGGATTTAGCTCAGCGGCAAAAGCGCCTGCCTGGCAAGCGCAAGGTCGTGAGTTCGGTTCCCGGTACCGGAGAAAAACAAAAAATACAAAAAAAAAACAAAACAAAAAAAAAAAGACCATGTCTCCAAAAACCTAAAAAAAAAAAAAAAAAAAAAAAAAAAAAAAATGTGCTGGGTTGAAAGAGAAGGGAGGACCACAGAAAAGACTGCACATTGAAAAAGATAGAAACAAACAAGAAAACAGTCAGAAATATGAAAAGCCAAACCTTTAGAAGGAAATAAAAAATAAAATACCTTGAGAGCTGGAAACAGTCTGTAAGGGTCATTACATCTTATGACAAAGAAAGCAATGTAACTGATGTATAATGGGATTTCTATTAATAGCAATAATAATTCATTGGTCCAAAGGTCTCTAAAAACCAAGCTCTCATTCATGTGATAGTTACTGAGTCCTAAGAGAATTCTTGTTCTGACTCACACTTTTTAATTAAATAAATCTTGAACGATTGAGGAGTGAACCCACTTACCATTTCATGTGTAATAATTAGTGATTACATTTATTCACTGAATGATACATTCTCTTTGAAATTCTTGTTAGTTTTAGTGAATAGAATGAAAACTCTGTGAAGTAGATATGCAATCAGGTGCAATAAAGACCTCACTCAGGGGCCAGACATAATTGAGTTTCTGCCCTAGATTCTGAGGAATTAGCTCTGTGTCCTTGGCTAGCTATTGAAACTCTGTTTCATGATTCTCATTTGAAAAAAAAAATATTTATTTCATAAGATTGTTATGATGATAAATGAAGAATTAATGTGAAATTCTTAAAATAGGCTCAGATATTGTTAAAACAAGCCCCACTTCATATGCTTATAAAAGAGTTTATGACTGGAAATGACCTTAGTGATCATCTAATCCAGCTGACCTCAAATCTTACAGAGCATCAGAACTTTCTCAAGACACTTTCAGAAATGTAAATGCATGGGTTGTGTTACTATGGGTTATGGGGTCAGAGAATGGGTTTCAAATTTCTTGTATGTGACAAAGATTAAGACATAGCAGACAATGACAATGAACAGGGATGAAGTTTATTAACATGGAACTATGATCAGAGTAAGAGGATTTGCTCTGGCAAAAGAAAAATGACAGGATCTCTGAAGGTATAAGATCTACCACTTTAAGTGTCCCACCTATGGTAGGGTGGTGTCATTGGGGTCCTCAGAGCAGGATTGACAGAGTGCTGACTTATGTCTGCTGCATGTGTTGTACATATCCCTTCACCTAATTCACTCTGTTATAATTGTGTATGTAAGATGCAATCCATTTGCATGACCTTTCATGAACTCCAGGAGAAGAAAGGTTTCTCTAGGGCAGTGGTGGTGAACCTATGGCACCTATGCCAAAGTGGGCATGCAGCACCATCTCTGTTGGCACACGAGCCAATGCTTGACAAATTATCAACATGCATATAACTGCAAAGATCACATCATTTATTCAAAGCCATGGTAAATGCAAACTTTACCTTTTAATTAAAAGCTGTTTGTGTCATTGAAAACTCTATTATTGTGTTTTTCTTTTAAGACACAAAATGCTAATGTACGAGTTGTTTTTTCTAAACTAAAACCTCAGTATTCAGGTTTAATTTGGTATTGGCACTTTGTGACAAATAAGTGGGTTTTGAGTTGCAGTTTGGGCACTCCATCTCTAAAATTTTCACCATCACTGCTCTAGGGCATGCAAGGAGGTCCAGTGCTCTTGCATCTTGGTTTGAAGTTTTGAAATTTTCCTGGTAAGACTTGAGCTCTGTCCCAGCCGGAAGATGAGCACTGCTGCTCCACTGGGGCTAGCAACTCACTGGGATGGTAAACTCCATATTAGTAATGCATTAAAGATAACAGAGTTTAAGGAAAGGAGGATTTTTACTCATTGGTTTTCAGGCATTCTGCCCACATCATCTCTTCCAGTGGTCTACACACAGCTTATTTCTCTCTATTTGTTTACTTGTCCTTGACAGGATCTTTTCACTGTTATAATCCAGTCACCCTGATACAGGAAAATAGAAACTCCCAACCTGAATGATATCTGGGACGAATTCCTGTTCTCTAAAATCAAAGAATGAATTTTAGGAACAGCAGAGGTTAAGAGCAGAATGTATTTACTGAGGGAAAGAAAGCTCTGTCCAACAGAGGGACAGAAGGGGGCCCCAGTGGGTTGGCAAGGACCTTGCCCTACCCAGGGATTTTATAGAGCAAAACGACAAGGTAAGGTGGGTCCAAGATAGGGGGAACATGGGAAATTACAAAGTAGGCATGAGGTGGGACAAAACTATGGTCAGCCAATAAGATTACAAGTATAAGTGTTCAGGTAAAATCGATTAAATTGTGGTCAAATGGGGAAACGAGTCATGTACCAAGTGGGTATGAATACAGAACAGGGGCTTTTACTGTAGGGGGTTGGGCTAGTGACTCTTCCTGGCTTTTTCTAGGTGATTGCTACTTATTTAGAGTATCAATCCCTGATGTTCATACCTAGGGAGGTATGTGGGTGTATTTGTTTAGTCCTTTGTCTTGAAGTCTGGCCCACAGCAAATACGTATCTTTCATGTTGGCTCCTGCAAGGGCCTTCCCTGTCTGACTGCCTATAATGTTTCTAATTTAGCTGCCTATCACAACATAACTACAAAATAGGAACCTGAAGACCAAAGGGTCAAGTACACCATCTAAGATGGCAATTTAGCTACAGAAAAAGGCAAAATTGGTTCTGGAATTCTCTTCAGTAGTGTTTCCACGATCTATGCTAGCTTGAAGGCTGGGAAAGAACTAGTGCCCACCAGCACTAATGAGAGCTATAAAACTTCTGGGGAAAGGAATTTGTGTAATTCAATTTCTTGAATATCACATAGATTAGATGAAATTATATATTTATTGGGAACTGAAAGTGCAATAGAAGATGTAAGATTAAATCATATCTCTATCACTAATTACCTAGACAAATTTAGACAAGTCATCAAACTCATGTTGCCTGATAAATTTATTTTAAGGTATTTTTAATTCCAAGAGGATTAATATACAAAATTTAAATAGTAATGTTACTAGATTCTGGGGTTCTGTAGACTCTTTCCAGGTCCCTTGTGTCCTCAACAAAAAACTGGATAAGATATGTCAAAAAGGGAGTGAGGTTATTCCTTACTAAAATTATTAAAATGATGTCCTTATTAAAATCAGGAAAGAGCTATGCTCTGCAGAGTAAAAGTGGGTCAGTGAGACAGTTTATGGTGACCACAAGGTTAATGGCAGAGATCTTTTGTAGCCCTCTTCTTCAGGATGACATCAGATCTAGACCATCTTATCAAAACCTGGTTAATTTTGCACCAGATGAATTGGAAATGGCACCTCCTGATTTCTCCTAGGTGCAGGTCTTGGGAACTGTGTTCTATTCATGTTTCCCTAATCTTTGTGATTGACAGGTCATGCTCACTTGTTCAGCTGGTTTGCCACACCCTGCTCTCCTGTCTTAGTAAGAAGAAATATAGAGAAATACAGTGAGCTAGTCCTATTAATAATCTTTGTGAAATATCTTTGATGCTAAATTCTGTAGCACAACATGTATAAGGTCAATCAAAGTTTGCTGAATTGAGGTTGTGAATTAAATAAGTTTATGTCAAGATATTTTATTTATGTGACATGCTCAATGACAGGGGGAATTCATTGCTAGGAAGGTGCTAGGGGAAATTTAACGGTAGCCATTTCCAGAACTGTAGCAGCTGAAGTATGTTTTCTATCCTGCTTTCTGCCCTAACTATCATGTGAAATCACAGAAGAGAGGATCAGGAGCCCATGTAGTGAAGTTGGATAGTTGAAATAAAAGTAGATAAAAAGAAGAAGATAAGAAACGCTGTAAGTTTAAAAAACAAAACTGTGGTTGTAGAACACGTCGGGTTTAATTTTTTTTCTTTCTTTTCTCCCAGAACATAAAGCTAACAAATTTCCTTTCACCTGCAAATGTATTCAACCATTCCCTTTTTACTAACAAATGAATTTCTTTCACCAATGAACAGACTACCTCTTTTCACCTGTAAAATAAGCTTTTCCCTAGACATGGGTCACTATCTTTCTGTGAGTGGGACATTCTTTCATTACCTTTTTTGTGGGTGGGCCATAATTTTCCAGAGACCTAAGAGGAAACCTGTAGATTCACATATTCCACAAATATCTGCAGCCAAAAAACACATAAACATTCCCAGCTCCAAACTAGTTTGGCTATCACCTCTCTTTTTCTGGAAGACCTATGTTTTATTTCTTGGAGTGTGCATTTTTAAATTTAAATTTCTGTCTAAAAAACCCTTCCTGTGTCTTTTACTCATGCACCCTAAAATTTATTTTTCAGTGATGAAAAAGGGAGTCAGTGAATCTGCAAACCTATTTAATAAGCAAAGTGGGTTAGGTTCCTTAAATCAGTTTTAGGAACCTCCTTGACCCCTGTCATATGACAGTAGTAGAGGATGAGAAACAGAACAAACTGTGTTATAGAGCAGGATAATCTGCCCATGTATACTGGTTCAGCTATAGTAAGTAATGCTGGTGGGTATTGAAAGAAATAGACTATGCAGTTGCCACTCCTGACTTGGAGGCAGAAGTTTATCCTTCTTGTAAACAATAATCTAAAAGTAACTGGGGCAATAGAAAAAGCACATAACCATGGACAAGCCATGAAAGGTGAGATTCTGTACTTATAGGAGGCTTCTCAGAGTTTGCAGGATTCAGATCTACCTCCCTGCCCCACCCACTGCCTTTTGATAGCAGAAAAGCCTCCTGATAGCATCTTTCATGTCCTTGTTTCTCAGGCTGTAAATGATGGGGTTGAGGAAGGGAACAAGGACAACAAAAGTGACTGCAATGGCTGTGTCCCAAAACACTGAGTAAGTGGCTGAGAATCGCAAATACATGACAGCCACACTGCCAAAAAACAGCAAGAACACAGCAAGGTGAGCAGCACAGGTAGAAAAGGCCTTTTGGAGACCCTCAGCAGAGGGCATCCCCAGAATCACCACAATGATGCGAGTGTAGGACAGGGCAATGACCAGGAAGGAGGCTAAGATCTCTGCTCCATGAATGGCATCCATGATGACCACGAGGGATGTATCTGTGCAGGCCAAGCTCAGCACAGGTGTGAAGTCACAGAAGATCTGGTGGATCTGGTTGGAGCCACAAAAAGGCAGTGTGGCAATCCATGCAATCTTAGGGAGCACAAGAAGGAAACCACAGAGGCAGGATCCAGCTGTCAGCTGGATAGAGAGTTTGGAAGTCATGATGGTTGGGTAACGGAGAGGATGGCAGATAGCTATGTACCTGTCTATAGCCATTGCTGTCAGGACACAGCCTTCTGTGATACCCAGTGAGTGGAAGAAGTACATCTGCATGAGACAGCCAACTAGGGAGATAGTCTTCTGCTCACTGAGTAGATTGGAGAGCATTTTGGGGATGGTGGTTGTGGAATACCAGGTCTCCAGGAAAGAGAGGACGCTGATAAAGAAATACATGGGGGTATGCAGGGCCACATCCAGCTGGACAACAATGAATATTATTAGGTTCCCAGTTAAGATAAATCCATAGATGAGAAATAAGGGAATAAAAAAAAAGAGGCCACCTTCATGCATATTTGGGAACACAGTGAAAAGGAACTCGGTCACCATTGTCTGATTCCCAAGTGTCATCTGTGAAAGAAGGAAAAACCATAAGGAAATTCCTGGAATTTGAATATAAATCACCCATTGAAACTCATCTTGCCCCTTTTCTGTAGTCAGTTACTTATGCTGATAATGGGATCCTAAACAAGGCATTTACAAACATCTCTCAAGAGCTGTAGTCCCATGATAGAAACATCTGAAACATTTCCAGTGAGGTGTCTAAATGATCTTTTTTGTAATCATCTTTAACTGATGTCAAGAAAATATAAACAATATAAGAAATTTAATTTTCTGGACATTTAATTTTTTGGAGGCTCAGTCACTTTCATTTCTGAGTTCTCCTCCTCACTCCCAGTCCTCCTGGGTTTAACCTTTTTTTTCAAATATTCTCAACACCTGTTCTTCAGAAAAAAATATTTTTACAAAGGCATTCTCAGGAGACCTTCTCCAATAATTCTTCTCTCTGTTGCTTTGCTCATCTTTTCCAGCAGTTATATTTAGCCTAAATATTCTTTATTACTCAGCCTGCCTTTCCCCACCGTTGGTTTGTGTCTTTTTCTTACCAGATGTTAAGTACCCAGACATAAGGAAGCATTCCTCCTCATATTCTCTGCTTTCTCTGTATCTTTTCCTCTGGTAGTGATTAATAGTTGCTCAAAGATTCTGTCCAGAATCTCACCTTGCACCTGAGTACTAAGCATTTCTGGACAAGCACATAACTCCACCTGCCACTCCCACACATCCCATCCCATCTATGGAGGTGATATCTAAGAGCCGAAGGAAGTAAAACACTATAGTATGTTTAAAAAATCACATTGACGTCTATCTTTATTTTTTTTTTTATTTTTATTTTTTTTGGTTTTGGTTTTTGGTTTTTCTCCGGTACCGGGAACCGAACTCACGACCTTGCGCTTGCCAGGCAAGTGCTTTGCCGCTGAGCTAAATCCCCAGCCCCTGACGTCTATCTTTAAAAGAGTGCGACAAAAATCAGCTGTCGTGGAAATCAGAATCTACTTGTTGGTGAGGAAGGACAACAAATCATTTGCAAGGCTAGGGCTGGAGGTTTAGCTCAGTTGCACAGCACCTGCCTGGCAAGCATGAGGTCGTGAGTTCAACTCCCGGTACTGGAAAAAAAACAAAACAAAACAACAAAAAAAAAACATTTGCAAGGCTGACTAAAATCCACGAAAGCAGTATGCATTACCTCTCACCTTGTCTGTTTTCACATCTTTTTCACTAGTATTCTTACCTCTAAAGAGTTACTCAAAAAGTGATTATTTCTATGCATGATTTGTTGCTGCTTTCTTTTTCAAAATATTAAAAATAAAATTCACAACTTTAACCTGATAATTATTGCCATATCTAATATGGTTCCAATCAAATTTTGGAGCCAAATATCTTTGTCAGGTTAGATCAGTATCCTGCATTTTTATTTTTGCTGATGCTATTTCTCATTTCCTTCTAGTTTCTTGATGTTCTATTGGAATCATAGGTAAGGTCTATTGAATGTTCCCATTGACGTGGAAATCTACTGATCTCCATTGCCAGAAGTATTAACTTTTTCCTCTGTCCTTTAATAGTACTCATTTTTCTTTCTTTATGACACTAATATATCCTTTCTTGCATTTTAAGTATTAGCATATTGACATTCTCTCTCCCAAGTAGAATGAAAATTTGTTAAGAGAAATCATGCAAGAGAAATGAAATGATATCACTGAATGCTTCCTCTGCAAACGCCGTGATGCTAAGCACTTTATACTTAAAATTTTTATTTCCCTGATTTCTACTTACATTATGAGTATTGTGGTTGAGGCAGAAAAATTGAGAATCAGAGAAAAGAAACTTGCCAAAATTAACAGCTGGAAACCAAAGTGGTAACTTGGAAACCAAGACTTTTTCAGAAGCTCACTACTATTTTTTTATGTCACAGGGTAAGTAGAAATCAGAATCCACCCTTCATTATTTCTGTTTTCTACTCTTGAGCACTTCTATGTTGATAAGACTGTCTTGGGAGTAAGATAAGAGACTGGATATAATTTCTTCAAGAGTCAAAGTAGATTGAAATAAATTCACTGACTGTGTCAGATGTCTCTCCAAATCCTCATTCTGTCATAGGTGGAACTTTTTCAGAGGCACCTGGATCTAGAGTGTGTGATGTTAAAATTGATTCATAAAACAATACTAGGCTCAAGTAGCCTAAACAAACTATATGAGATAAAATAGCTGTGGTCATACCTTGCTTGCTTTGCTGCTTTCTGCCTGCCATGAACTGTTTCTTCTCTGCAATGCCTGTCCAGCACAACACCCTGCCTTGGAGCCAGCCATGATGGACTGAAAACTACAATGTGAGCTAAATAAACTTCTCTTCCCTTATCTTGTGGGTGTTGCATATTTTTTTTTCGGCATTAAAAAAAAAAAAAAAACTAAGACACGGAAAATTAAGAAAATTAATTTACTAGTAGGTAAGATGCTTTTGATACTGTGCCTCAGGGTTTGAGAAAGATACATAGAAGAGACTGGCTTTGAAATAGAATAAACAATAGCAATCAGCACAAAGGGAGAGCCTTCAAGAGGAATGCTGTGAGTGACTGGAGGTGTCTCTGACTAAAACATTTACTTCTCTTTCTTGTCTGCTTATCTTTTCAGCTTAAAGCAAAAGACACTGACAGATAGCAATGAATAGTCATTATGGAATATACAGAGCACGAGACAACAGGGCTGTAACAGTAAGCAAGAAAATCCAATGCTAAGAAGCTCATAAAAGCTGAGTATAGTGACTACCACATTGCTCTAAGCTGGAGGCTCTTCTCCTTAGTAACATTGTTTCACTATTCATCGTTCAAACATCTGTTCCCCTGACTCTAAGGTGGTGAGTTTGTGCTGTTAACTGCTATAGTTTCAAGGTGAATAAATATTATTCCTGCTCCTGCAACTCATAAAGGACATAAAGTAATTCAAGAATAACAGATAATTAGCAGTGCCCAAGGAGCTCAGCCTACACCTATTGCTTGGGTACTGAAAAGTTGCAACTTCGATTCTAGTTATGTAAAGGAATACAGTAACCTGTCCTGTGGGCAGAGCCCTGCAGGAGCCTACAATTTGTTTGAGCTTTAGCAGAGTTTTAGTGCTTAGATACTAGTACCTTTATCTGTTAGGTAAACTATATTTTTTCTAACAACATCCTTTCAGATTTTTTCTGTCATTATTCAATTTTCTTTTGGTACAGGAGATTAAACCTAGGGCCTTTAAACTGAACTACATTCCCAGAACTTTTGTTAATTTATTTTTTTTATTTTGAGGCTGGGTGTTGTTAAGTTGCTAAGTTTTCCAGGATGAGCTCAAACTCATGATTCTCTTGGTTCAGCTTCCAGAGTGCTGTGATTACAGGTGTGCACCACCCCACCTGGCCTCATTATTCTAGCTCTTTTACTCATGAGCTGAAATTCTAAACATAATGGAGTTTTGTGCTGAAGGGCAACAGCTGGGTACTGAGGAGCTAAAGGCATAAGGAGAGTATGGGCGGGCACAGTACCCTCAGAGGTTGCTGCCCTGTCAACAGCTGTCTGTCTCACTCACCCTGCCTGAGATCACCAAATCACTCCTTAGCATCTCTCCACTCACCTGTACTTTTTAGCTGGCTGATGACTATGTAGATGTCTCTGAATCACTTCAGGGATTACATAGAATGGAAATATCATCTTTCTTGGGAGTTCTCTGTAGATGATGCAGTATTTAAGAAAAATAGTCCATCTCCTTCTCCCCTCTAAGGAACAAATTAGGCGGAAAATGCAATTTAGTAATTAGACAATCCCCTGGGTGAGGTCTCAAAAACTTTTCTGTAGCTATAAAGCCTTGTCTCTTAGATAGGAGCATCAAAATGGGTCCTGGCATCCAGAATAGCTGAGGAGTTCACAATAGACTACAGACTGGATCACAGTTTTCTTTTAATATGCATCAGTAAACACCACTTCTGCTTTTCATCTTTTTAAAGTATGATTTCCATTCCCTCTAAAATACATGTAATTTTATAAAATAAGTATATTATACATTTTAAGTTTCAAAATATGTATTTCATTCGATCTTCTAAAAAAACTGTATGCTTAAAAATTGTTATCATGGTAGCCGGGCATTGTGGTAACTGCTTCTAAACACAGGACTTGGGAGGCTGAGGCAGGGGGATGATCATGCGTTGGAGACAAGCCTGAACTATGTAGAAAGACCTTATTAAATCAATCAATCAATAAATAAATGTTATCATGGTGAACTGGTGTGGTGGTGTGATCCTAGCATTCTGGAAGTGTAAGGGAGAAGCATCATAGGTTTGAGCCCTTCCTTGAAAATTAGTGACTTAAGACACAGCTGGGGATGTAACTCTGTTCAAAGGCCCTGGGGTCATTTGCCAGTACTACAAAAAAAAGTCAATATGATAAATTTTATGTTACTTACTTTTATCGCTATTTTTCAAACTCAATTTGTAAACCAGACACTCTGGCACAGGTTTGTAATCCCAACACTCTGGGAGACTGAGGCAGACACAAGTTCAAATCCAGCTTGGACAAATTAGTAAGTTAGTAATATCTTGTCTTGAAATAAAAAAAAATAATAAAAGGCTTTAGGTTTGGCTCAATTCAATAAGTCTGGGCACAGTCCTCAGTTCCACAGCATAACTGAGTAAGTAAATAAAGAGTTAATGAGGTATGCATTACAAGAGACAATTTCCTTTCAATCATAAGGCCCTATGTATAAATTGTGATGAATTTTGGAATAAAAATATTCAAAAAACTCTAAATTCCAAATAAACTCAATGGTATATTAGAAAACATTTTCAAATCCAAGATGAAAATGATTCCAAAATATGCAGTTGATTAACATTAAAGATTTATTAATATTATTCACTGATATCTGACTAAAAGGGAAAACTACAACTTTACCAATAAATGCAGAGAAAATATTTCATGGAATTAACCCTTATTTGAGATTCAAACAGCTCAGTTGTGGGACACCACTGGCTTTAACCCCTGTTTTAAGAAAGAAAATCTGAAATTTTATATAGAAAGCTCAAAAGATGTAAAACCAAATTTT